TTTTGGTTAAATCATTCTCTCTAATTGCTGCTAGCTATAAATTTTGAGTTCAACATATGTGGAAACTGGCGGAAAAAAACACAGGACTTAGAGTTTCAGGATTTATTGGTTTGGAGTTTGTAAAATTAACAGTACAGTTTTAAAAAGCTTAAGTCAAAATTGCTACTTTTTTGTTCTTTTTTAAAAATTTTCTGAATATTCTGCTTTCAGGACTTTTTTCATGCCAAGTGTTTGTTCTTTGCAGGGTCACAAAGCAGATGCCTATGCTTAAATTGAACTTTTTAAGTCCAGCTTTGTATTGTTGTGGAAAATATCTTCTTGGTTTGTTCTCAGCAAGAGCCTGATAAAAGCTCAGAACACAGAAGTTTCTTTATTGCCACTGAGGCCCAGTCCCAAATCTCTTGCTCAAACAGGACAAGTTCTTTGGCAATAGTTCTGTAGGCAGACATTAATGCAGATGTTGCATCATAAATTTGGCTCAGTAGTCAAGTGTGAACACAGAGTAAGAGGCACAGATTGTATCCAAATGCCACATCTCCTACACTGTGGGTGAGAGGGAGTCTTCCTCATGCAAAAGATTTTCTGCAGAGTCTAGAACATTCATTACCTTTAGAGAACCCTTCCTATTGTCATGGGTCACTTCTTTCACATAGGTCTCCCAGGCGAATCCTGGCTAACAAGAGGAAAGTGTGTTTTTATAGGAGAAGGAGAGAGACACAGAGGCCAAGAGGTAAAACCTGAGATTTTGGATGGGTATCCCCCTGCTTATATCAAAAAAATAATCCCTTTCCTGAACTTCCTGAAAATCTGCCATGAATCACCCTGTTGAGGTACGTATCCTGAAGGGGGAAATAGCAGGTTACAGCTTTGCTGACTAGATCACTTCAGATCTCCAACAAGCTTGTAATGTTGGGTTTTGGTTGCCAAAAAACAGCGTGCTAAATAGCTACGTATACGAAGCCTCCTTAAGCACTGCAAGGAGTGTTTTCTGCCTAACATGTAGTTAAATGTAGATGAGTGATGGGGTTATTTTTAAACTGTTGTAGTCTGCCAAGTCATGACTGCCTTTGCTTCAGCATGTCATGTCATCAGAGACAAATGATGGCCTTTCTGTTTGGGAGCTGGCTGCTTCGGGTCAAGGCTGGTCACTGTGGTGTTCATCATCACCAGGTTGGGTGATCCTGCCGCTCCAGGCCCTGCCAGTCCAAAGCTCCTGCCGTGGGCAAAACCTCCTATAGTGTATTATGGGGATTCTAAACACAAAACAACTGCTAGTAAGAGAAAGTTACACAAAAGCTTAGATGTGTCCTCATTAGCAAAACTGTACTAGAATCAAATAAAATCCCTTACCAAGCTGTAGAATTGATTGTCTCAATTTCCAGGGTGGCTGACCATGCTACTACACTGGATACCTCTACCCTGGAAGAGATCTTCTAAACACAGAAGTGATAACAGGACTCTGTTTTGTCCATCATACACAGACAGACATCCTTGCCAGCCAGGTGCCATGTGGCAGAAATATCAGACTTGCCATGGTCTTTTAAGGGGCAGGAATGGTCAGAACACAACTTTTGGGGAAGCCTCCTAAGGAACCTCCTTTTCCAAACCGCTTTCCTCACTCAGATGGATTTGAACTGATTCTGTCTTTGGCAACTTAGTACTGAATGTAATTCCATATTTAAATATATTTATCTGAGGAGAAACTGGGAAGACTCACAGAAGGTACTAAGCAGTAGTGACCAAGAGCAGGAAATTAATTCCCACATCAACTCTTTGATAGCTTTTATAAAGTTGTTCTAGTAATTATGGACAGTGCAGTGGGTTTGGCTACACCAACACTCCTTAATTTTTTTTTTCTTGCTAAGATACTGTCTGCCTTGCACACCAATATCTGTAGGGTGGTAAATTGTTTAAAGGTGTGGTAACTGCTTCCAGAGATTGTGTACAAAATTTTAAGCAGGACTTTTGTGTCGTGAACTGTAAATGATTTTCTTTAATTATTGATGGTGTCAAAGGCAAAGTCTCTCTGGCCTGTTTTCTCCATTCTTTAAAGCCAGTACTGATTGTCCAGATATAATCACTGAAGAACAATCAATAGTGATTTTTTTTTCTTATTTATTTTCTTTTTTTCCATTTCACTACAGACTTCATTAGTTGTGTTATTTTCAGTTATTATATTAGCAGAGCTAAGTTCAATGACTGTATCTTAATTTTAAAGAAAAAAAAATGCTCTTTTTAAGAAAATGTGATGATTATGTGGCACCACTGAATGTGCTTAATCTTTTTGGTTGAAATCTTTTTTTCTCATTTATCTTCTTTGAGGAAGAACTTCTTTACTGTGAGGGTGACAGAGTCCTGGAACAGGCTGTCCAAAGAGGTTGTGGAGTCTCCTTCTCTGGAGATCTTCCAAACCTGCCTGGATAGCACCCTGTGCCCCGTGCTCTAGGTGCCCCTGCTGGAGCAGGAGGGGTTGGACTAGATGATCTCCAGAGCTCCCTTCCAACCTTAAGCATTCTGTGATTCTGTGATTCTATTGCTTTTCTAGTAAGTCTAATCTCAGCAAAAGTGTAACTCATAAAAATCTTTTGTAAAAAGTCTGCTCTTCTGTAAGAATTTAGTTTAATGAATCATTTTCAAGATTCAGGAAATATATTGTCCTGCTATTGTACACTGACACACTATATTAATACAATGTTCTAAAAGATAGATGTAGTAGTGCATGCTGAAATTATATATTTTTTTAATTATAAGAAGTGCTTGATAGAAGTTAGGCTTGCTGGTGAATAATGGATCTATAATTCTTGTACATCTGTATATGCTCTCAGTACACATATTCGATTAGATATTCTAGTCTTCTAGAAATAGCATACCTGTTATAGAACACAGTGAGAATTAAATTTGAAACATTAGTATTTCTGGCTATGTGCTGATGCAATATCAGCTCATTGTGCAAAGAAAAATCCCCAAATGTGTTTCTTTTTTCATTTAAATAGTATATTATAATTTCCTCTGGCAAATAATCAAAACATACAACTATCTGCCAATTATTTGGGGAGATATTTCCATCTGTCTATTTTAGAGAGAGATTAGAATAATCTATAACAGAAAATCTGTGTCTCTCCCATTTCCCACTCCATTTTTGCCTTCCTGAGCAGGAAATTACAGGTGCTGTTTTCCACACAACTTTGTAAAAACTACTTTAAATAAAAACACTTACAAAAATCAAAAATGAAATAAGTTTTTCTATGATTTGAATGGACCAGCCTGAGAAAAATGCTGGTGTTGTGCATGAGGCTTACTATGCCCTTGCCATCCGGAAAAGAACAGAATTCCTGTTGTTGTGGTTCACTGCTAATCTATCAGCAAGCAGAAAATAAATATGGCTTCCAAATCAAATTTATATACTTTTGTTTTGGTTTGGATGCCCAGAGAAGATCAAAAGATTACCTTTGTGCTGGTGAATATCTGTCAGATAGATAGCATTTATTATTCCAGATGCAATGTTGAAATCTTTCTGTTGAGAGGAGTTTTAGGTCTTACTGTGGTCAATATCCTAGTAATGTAAGTAAATGTTATCACCCATGGTTTTTACATTTCACATAATAGAGCCTATAAAATAGACAGAATTGCTGCTCAACGACTGCTGAAAGCTTACTTCTCTGTATTTGCCGAACACTGTCTACCTGTACATTAGATTTAAATTAAGTGCTTGTATAACTTATGCTGACAGTCTTTAACATGCTGTGTGTTTACACGACTGAAAGCAGGTAACATTGTTTAGAATCTTATTTATGATTGTAAATATGTGCAAAATTTTTGTATTTGTGTCTAACGTCTGAAAACTTTTGACAAGCCCTAATTCATCTCTAAAAAAGTAGTTTAAAGTGGACAGTGAAATTACTAGATAACAACTGTGGATATAGTTGTCTGAGATGTTTATTTTTTCTTTACAACAGAGGCATGCACTGTTTGCAGTTTGTGCAGTGAGACTGTCTTCATCTTTATTTATTTATTTATTTGTATCATGCAAGATAAAGTGTGTTTTACTAGAAATTGCCATTTTTCCTTTTCTTGGCAATAATTAGCTTTTGATTCTGTTAAGTACTTTGAGGTTTCCTCAAAGGCACAGAATAAAGCAGGTTCTGATCTGCAGGAATGATGTGAAAACTTATCTGGGTCTTAGTCATTCTTCTGGCTCTGTTTAATTTCAAGGGTAGCTTTGTATGTGGGCCATGGAACACTTGCCCTAGTACCAGCCCTAATAGGCACCAAACTGTGTTACTACACTTACTCCATTCTTTTGCCAAGACACATCAAAACACTACGATAACTTTGTGTGCATATTTATAATAACATTCAGGCAGTAACTGAAAGTTACTACAAACAAAGAGTGCAATCAAAAAGGTATTTCTTTGCCTGTGGCTCAACATTAGGGGTCCAGATACGAGAGTCTGAACTTCTGGGACATGGCAGTATAGTAACTTATGTGCAGACTGTCCTAGATAGTGTCCTAGAAAGAACTGTGGCAATATTTTTGTACTAGTGGCCATGGGGCTTACATAGTTCAGTATAAAAGAGGGAGAGGTGTGAAAATTTATAAGTTAAACATTGAGTATGAATATTTCTCAGAATTTGATGACAGAGGTGAAAAACTGATTTTGTGCTACCAATGACGATGCAGCCTTGTTTCCTTGGCCAACTGGGAAGCAGAAAACAGCTACATATGGGCTAAAGTTCTCTGAAGAATGTGCAATAAATAGGTATCTAAAGGAATAGTCCACAGGCTCTCATCAGCTTAACAGTTTGAGGAGGAGAAGAATCATCTTCCAATCTAAGAAATAGTTAGCACCACAGGGCTTGTTTATTTGGTGTGGAGAAAAGACTAGTAAGAGCTTAAAATAATATATCTGCTTGTATAAATCTGTGTCAAACTAAAATGATGTTCACATCTGTAGAAATGTTTTTTTAATAACTTTTTAAATGTATTTTTTTAAATCTAGATCATCGACAAGGAGATTAATCCTTTCGTGGACAAATGGGAAGAAGAAGGACAGTTCCCAGCACATAAAGTATTTAAAATCCTAGGACAGGCTGGATTTCTTGGTGTGGATAAGCCAACAGGTAGGAGAGTGTGCAACTCTTGAATATTGATGATGTTGGTGATAGAATTTTTTGACATTATTTCATTTGTCCCAGATCAAAACATGCTTCAGAATTGAATACAAAGAACACATATTTGCAAGTGACAAGCATGCTCCTTACAGACTGTACAACTACACAAAATGAGTGTACAAGTTCTTATTCTCTTAAAAATAAATATTCTTTAAAAATGATTGTTACCCAAAGTTAGTGAAATCAATGGCATTTCAAATAATCCTTATTATTTTTCTTTCTTCTATTTCTTTATACATATTGAATAATCTCAGTCTTCATTAATAATACCACAGTTTGATGGCATTGAAAGCTTTGTATGATTAGGCCTATCATACTTGGCCCATCATCTGTACAGCATTATAACGTATTTTGCCTCACCATTCAGTGATGAAGCTTTGAAGGGTTTTAGACCATTATATCCTAGACTGTCTTTAAAATGCACTACTGAAGCTTGCAGCCCACAGAAGCATGTACAGGACAAGAAGTGATGATATACACAATAAAACCAGAGAAAGTTGTATGTTTATACATATATATTTGTGAAGAGAAAAAAAGAGAGAGAGATCAGGGAATCGGGGAGAGTAGGGGGGTTTCAACTCTTCCTAACTCAGCTAAAACCCATCCATCAAGTTTTGCTTTGGTTGTATGTGATGTAAGATATACTTACATTTTTCCAAATACTACTGTAAGATATTCCTGCGAGAATTCTCTGTTTTGTTTTGTTTTTGTTTTTGTTTTTTTTTTCTCTTGTTTTCTTATTTGTAGCTAAAAGCTTTAAAACAAAGAAAATTGAAGGAAGCGAGTTTACGTAGACAAGCCTACAGCAATCTTCATTAATTCAGAGCAGAGTGAAGTAAAAATGATTCAGTATGTAACTGCAAATAATCATCTTTGCAGGGTAGTTTACACAACCTTAGCTAAGCCACACCACACTGTTACGTTGCTAGGGGACTGTGGAACAATTTATGTTTTTTTTTTTTACAGATTTCTTTAAGAGGAATTTTTTCATCTTGAAACAAACTTTCAAATTGTTATATATTCTGACAGGGAAGCTTTTTCTTTAGCTATTCAGTTGTTGGAGTTCACAGAACTGTTTAGCTGTGATTGTTTGACAAATCCAATTAAGTCTGATCTGGTACTTTACAAAAATGCTGACAGTTTGAGATTGCAGCTAAGAGTTATTTAAAGGACAAATAGGATTATTAGGTGAAGGAAAAAACACCTCCACTTTCTTACTATAATTATTTGATAGTCAGATTTGGAATGTGTCTCAGTGGGGTTCTTCACACTGCTATTATTCATTTTGCTTATAAGAATGATATATTTGCTGTCACATTACAACTCCATCTTTGTTGTTATAAGTATCTGAGGAGATGCAAAGTCTTCAGCTGGGATAAGGAACCTTGCTGTTGAGAATACGTGAATAAAACATTGTGGAGGTGGGAACTTTGTATAACAGTCACAAAGTAGCTAGAACAAGAGATAAATTGAGTGAAATGTCACGAAGAAGGGACTTTCAGGAGCAAAGATGATCGCAGAGGTTTGCATACACTGACTGCACTTGTATTAATGATTAAAAGTATTTTGTTGTTATCTTTGATGCTTGGATCTCATTTCCAATCTAGCTTATTGGACCTCTACAACTGCAGTTTATAAAACCTATAAAACACTGGATGAAGTTCTCACTGGCACTTGTTCCATCTAGTTGTTCATGTTCTCTTCAGAAATATATTGTTGAGCACAAGAAATGCACTAACTCGAGGAAGATTCTGCCTTCACTGCAGCTGAGCAAGGCAATGCCCCACGGCCACCTTTCATGGTGCAGTACATCAGGCACAGCAGAAAGTCCTGAATTTGTCATGATCTGTGAAACAGATGTGTAGCAGTCTTTATGGGAGTTCCTTTAGCAAATGCCTGAAATTTTTAGCCCTTCTATGAGGTTCTTATGCTTGCTATATAGCTAGTGGCTACTTAGCAGTAACTTTAAAAAAAAAAAAAAGACAGATATACCTTTTCTACCTTGCCACATCACTTATTATTTAGCTGCTATGTATAAAGAAAGGGAGATCTTGAGGAACTGGAGGAAGCCTGGAGTTTTGGGATATGTGAGAGAAGTCAAAAGGGAGCTTAATTGCTTTGAGGAAGCTGTTCTAGCCCCAGAACAGCCCAAATGGACAGTGTACCTACTTGCTCTTTCCAGAGTAGATCAAAGTTTTAACTCTAATCTTGTATCCCTCCAAGAAACATTCTCTGTTAAAGAATGGTCTTATGTCTTTAAGTGAATTTATTGTAACAGCACCTACAATTTTGAAACAGCAGATTTTCTGCATTTAATTTCCAAAATCATTCTGTTGAACAACTTTTTATTTAATACAAAAAAAATTTACCCAGTAAAATTAATTTTGAAGTGTTTGATTGGATAGAAATGGTTCACAAACTTGTTTTGCTTAGATAGAAGGAAACATCTGTTGGACTTCAGATTTGTTGAAACTGGACTTGGTTTCCTTTGTAAACACTATTACATTTATGAACAATGAGCTACTTAATGGGTGCCGGTATGTTATCACTGGAAACTTTCTCTGTGATTGGATACTATTTGTGTTACGAAGTATCCATCAGTATCCACCATTTGCAGTAGTGGGCTGCAAGCTTCATGGTGTTTTTTCCTCTATATTTTTTTCCCCAATTGTTTATGCTTGTACTGAATATTGGCTATGCTGTAGTGGTTCAGTATGTTAGCTGAAGGAGTTAAAGACCACAGCAAGGCTAAGCTTGCCTAGATAATTGCTGAATCCTGGATATTACCAATGGATTTAACTTATTACACTCTCCTGTCGGTCCTCTGCTGGGGAAGACTATTTACCTTGAATCATGTATTTCAGTTCTGAACTCTGGTATCATTTATATGATTCAAAAACTAACATTTTCCCTTGGAAAAAAAAAAGAAAAAAAAAGTATATTATTCTATTAGAAAATTCCTCTTAATCATAAAATATATGGTAAAAATATGAGCATCATTTATGAATAGAAGATATCTTTTTATTCCATGCAAAATCAGTTTTATGGAATTTTATAGAACCCAACATCTCCATATACTTATTACTCCTAATTTATATTTACTGTGTGTTTCTCCTCAAATTATAAACTTTCTGGGCCAGTGAGCTCTTGTCAGTCTCAAAACTAAGAACAGAAAATATTAGGTTAGGCAACAAAAGTATTTTAAACAGCCTTGGAATGTGGCCATTGACCATTTTGCTAAGGGAAGTGGGCAAGACACATTATTTGGGGCATTTTATTTGCAGATTAGATGAAATACTGGAGTAAAAGCTGAGAAGATCCTTGTGGTTATTTCTGATCTTATGGTTTATGAATCAAAATCTCAGCTATTACTTAATTTTGGGAAACCTTGCCAAAGACACAGGCCTAAAATGCTGTATGTGTGCAGATATATATGTCATATGTCCAGATGCAAATGATTATCAGTTGCTTTTATCAGCTGATGCAAAAACATGGGAATTTTCCTGTAAAGATTTGTTGAAAACAAAGGAGCAGGGGGAAAAGAGTGGAATGTCTCTTGTGCTGCATATACTGTGCTGCATATAGCATCACTGTGAACATGAGTGATGATTATGGCTGCTGTTCTGTGTATTTCACTAGCGGTTTCACTGGCAGTCCTATACGGATATTTAACAGAATACATTTGCATGTAGAAATAATTATAATAGTATGTACAAGCAATAACTTTCACTTATTCCTAGCAAACCCCTAGTGGTGTGCTGGCAGAACATGCTCATAAACCTCAAATCAGGACAATATGTTTTAAGACTCATATGCGAGAAAGTATTTTTTCTATCCTTCCTCTACTGCTGGGATATATCTTGCATACTGAACTGCATGAAGTAATGAGCAGTATATTTTGTCACTTGGGAAAACAAAGCATCTGATGAAAAGAAAACATATATTTCAAGTGTTTGATTGCAGTGCTGTGCAATTGGAAAATGATGCACTGTTTTTCCTTAAGAGAGCCTTTTTGTTGCACGTGTCTGCTTGTAACAGAATCACAGAGTGACTGAGGTTGGAAGGACCTCTAGAGATCATCTAGTTCAACACCTGCCCCAGCAGGGACGCCTAGAGCACGTGGCACAGGGTGGCATCCAGACGGGTTTGGAAGATCTCCAGAGAAGGAGACTCCACAACCTCTCTGGGTAGCCTGTTCCAGGGCTCTGTTACCCTCACAGTGAAGAAGTTCTTCCTCAAACGGAGATGTATTTCAATTTGTACACATTACCCCTTGTCCTGTCACTGGTCACCACCGCAAAGAGTTTGGTCCCATCCGCTCTTACATTCTCCCCTAAGGTACTTGAACATAGTGGTCAGATCTCTTCTCAGTCTTCTCTTCTCTAAGCTAAACAGGCCTAGCTCGCTTAGTCTTTCCTCATATGATAGATGCTCCAGTCCCTTAATCATCTTTGTTGCTCTACACTGGACCCTCTCTAGTAACTCCACATCCCTCTTGTACAAGGGAGCCCAGAACTGCACCCAATACTCCAGCTGCAGCTTCACCAGAGCTGAGCAGAGAGGCAGGATCACCTCCCTCGACCAGCTGACAACGCTTCTCCTGATGCAGGCCAGGATCCCATTGACCTTCTTGGCCACGAGGGCACATTGCTGCTTCATGGTTAACTTGTTGCCAACCAGGACTCCCAGATCCCTCTCCACAGAGCTGCTTTCCAGCAGGTCAATCCCTAATCTGTACTGGTGCCTGGGGTTATTCCTCCCCAGGTGCAGAACCCTGCACTTGTCCTTGTTGAATCTTATGAGGTTCCTCTCGACCCGACTCTCCAACCTGTTTAGGTCCCTCTGAATGGCCGCACAGCCCTCAGGAGTGTTGGCCACTCCTCCCAGTTTGGTATTATCCACAAACTTGCTGTCCTCTCATCCAATTCACTGATGAGCAAGTTGAACAGTATCAGGCCCAGTACTGATCCCTGGGGGACACCACTGGCCACAGGCCTTCAACTAGACTCGGCCCCATTTATCACGACCTTTGAGCTCTGCCATCCAGTCAGTAGTGGGAATACAGGTCTAGACTATCTTCTAATGTTAATTTTGTTGTTTTATTCTTGAATATATCTCTCTTGTAAGATTAGATCTTACAAGATTGCTAGTTTGCTAGTGGAAAATTGCTTGGAAAGTTGTGTGTGTTCTCTCTCTCTCTCTCTTTCTCTCTTTCTCCTCTCATCTCTCCTCCCTTATGCTGAGACTTATTATTAAGTGGAATAAAGGAAAGAAGGATCTAGGAGGAATAATGAATTCTGCTACTAGAAGATGATTTATTAGTTCAGATGAAATAGGGTTTTACAGCTTGTCAGAGAGTAAATGAAACAATTTAAGGAGGTTTGTATGGATAGAAGCTAAATAGGGTATATTTGCCAGAAGACACTTTGTTTGCCCAGAAACATTTCTTTGCTGTGAGGGTGAATCAGCTATAATAGTTGTGCTTGATTTAGTAGGTTTA